CCCCTGAATCCTCTTTATAGCTCTCTCACGTGGTCTTTTCAAATTCTATTGATTTTAACATCTTCGAAAATTTTCGGTATTTAAACTTTCGGTTTTTTTTCTTGATTATCAATAAAAGATGATTTTGGATTCTTAAATTGTCGATTTTATGAAACCTCCCCTCCATTCGAGCTTGGTAATTATTCTTCGAGGAGATCAGGAAGCGGGAAATGGACATGATAAGATTTACGGGGGAGATAAATATCGTTGGCCTGAGTGACCACATGGAACTCAGTCGTCCTCAGGATATCCCTAATAAGACGAACACATCCTGTGTACATGTCGCGCACAGGACAGCACGCAAGCTTTTACCGTGGCGATTTCGCTGTTGAATACAAGCAATGAATGCAAGCTTGATAACCGCACCGTCGTCATCCTTATCTGTACACCGTAATCCTGCCTGCTGTGTCACACTATAGCTCGCAGGACGAGGCGATAAAGTGCCGCGCTGCAGTCGCATTCGACTGCAGTCACGCGTCATTGTGCAGGTAATCCCGGCATTAACCCTACTGGACTTCCTAGTTTTACGTTTCTATTTACATTTCGTTTGTTCTTTCCTTGCTCTTTTTCTCTTCCTCTTTCTTTCTTTCTCTCTCTTTCTCTCTTTCTCTCTTTTGTAATTCTAGGATAACATATATCATGATGCAACGAAAAGCACACGTCCTATTCGGATGACCGAGAAAGTTCTTGAAAATCGCTTGAAAACGAAAAGATACTATATTAATTTAATATTATTTTCGCTTTTTGTTCGCAGAAACCGGACATTAAATTAAAAATTTGTAATTTAAAAATTAAATTTTTATTTAATTAAACTTTTTTCCGATATTCTCCGCTTAAAATTTTCTTCGACTAAAATAGTCAGCAAATTAACCATCAGAATTAATGAATCGTCATATACAAAGTTGCAAATAATTTGATCGATTAATAAAATTGATTATCAAACTTCGATGTAATTGGCTATACATTAATAATTAATTTCATTTATTCATTTTTAATCGATGAAATTGTTTATAGCTTTGTGTACGACGATTGATTAATTTCAACCAAAATTACCAATTGTCATATGTAGTCACAAATAAATTCATCGATTCAATTAATTATTAATCAAACTTTGATGATTGACTGTACATTAATTAATAATTAATTACGCTAATCGATGAACTGATTTGTGATTTTGTACATGATGATTAATTTTGATTAATTTAATCGATCGATAAAATTAATTATTCATCTAATTTTGATATGTTTGACTGTACACTGATTAATTATTAATTTCGTCAATTCGTGAAATTATTTGCGATTTTATATATGACAATTGATTAATTTTGATTATTGATTCGCCTGTTACTTTAACCAGAAAAAACTTAGAGCGATTAAGGTGCGACACTGAGGCAAAAACTGAGCATTCGTGTAATTTAACGGACGTTCTCTCGGAATCTTCTCGATATGAGAATGCATCTAAATTGAATAAAAATCTTCCCGCGGTATTCTTTTACGCAATTTGCAGTACCGAGAATATCGCGGCGGCGGCGGAAGCCGGGATTAAGTTCAGACGACGTAAAGTCGAACTGAGGTGTTTCGAGGGATAAAGTTTTGATTCATGCATGATAAATGCACAATCTGGTTCAGCTGCTGGCGGCATTTGCCAGTCGGGGTGGAGGGGAAGGGGGCTGAAAGGATTAAAGGAAGCGTTGCTAAGAAGGCGGATGCAATATCGAGTTTGTAAAATAAAGCGATCTAACGGGAACGTGGATACTTCTCGTTTACCATCCGCGATATCAAACTACGGAGCACCGCTTTATGAATATGTAAAGTCCGTTAGAGGCGCTCCGGCAAATTGTTTGCGGATCGCGTCAAATATTGACAGGGCGCTTGTAAATTTATTCAGGAAAATAATGTATCGCGGCCACGATGAGGTAGGATAAGTCGGAATCTCGATTTTCCGCCGTAAGAACGAGATGAGATTCCGACCTTTTCTTTACGAAAAATGCGGATTGCGAGAGCCTTCAATACCCGGAATTTCGAGTGCTTACGTATTCAACAAATTCGCGCGCAAATAAACTCTTCTCCTCCTTCAATCTCCTTATCCAATTTCTATATTCTCGTATATTATGGGTCTTGGGTTCTGGTGTCCGCTCTCGACATTCCAAAATCTCGAATTATCGAGTTTTCAATTTCTACACAGAAAAAAAGAATAGTTTTATTTGGAGAATATCTTTATTGTTAATATTTTAAAATTAAGATTAAAATATTAAAATGAGCTTTTATATGGTATTGAATGAAGATAAATTCAATCAAAAAGAATATAATCAAATTAACACACAATTATTTTCTTATATATAAGTAAGCATATTGTTGGTTATATGAGAAAATGATTATATTAATTGTACTATATTCGTCTTGATTAAAGACTAATTTATTTTTACTCAACATCATATAATCTCATTTTGACATTTTAATCTTATTTTTAAAATATTGACAATAAAGGTATTCTCCAAACAAGAATATTTTTTTTTTCTGTGTACATTTTTCACGAATCGCACGAATCATAATTTTTCATAATCTGGTATATCAACTCAAATCTTTTACAAAAAATATGTTTTTGTTCTTTTACACTGAGTGAAAAAATATATGAAAAATAAAAAATATATATAATCAATAGATACTAATAACATATTTAATTACATTAACACATATATTTTTTTGCAATAAAAAAACATTTCTGGACTAAAGAAATTTCCTTAAAACCATTACTTTTCAAGATAGCAATTGTTTATTTAAATAAAAGAATTTAGATTTAAATAAATTGTTTTGTAAGATTATTATACAGGCATAATATTGCAACATTTTAATTTTGCAGTAACTGAATTATTAAAAACGTGCGCAATAAGTCGCTAAATTTACTTTTTTACTTTTGTCAATCGATTTATTTATTTTTTTTTAATGAGATAATACATCCTTTTATGAGTGAATTTTTATATATAAAGACTTCTCTTTTTACTACAAGAGGAAAATTTACTTCTAGGATATTAAAAGATTATATTATCGAGAAAATAGAAGGCAGAGAGTAGCCGCAGACTTACAGATATTACCGAATATGCAGAATTGCTGACGGAATTCCTTCGCGAATTTCCAGCCGTATAAAACGGGGCTTAACGAACAACATGTGTCGTGGGACGTGTATTCCGGACAATCGGCGGAGTCGCCAATTAGGGAGCGCGTGAGGAAACTACAAGGGCGATAATGAAAATAATAATTAGCCAGCGTAGTTGTGGTCCATTAATTGATTCGGCCGGCGAATCGTCATCGTCCCGCACGGCCACTTAATTAACGCGGCCGACCAATCAAGCGGCCGTTTACGTCCCTAATCGCACCGACAACGTTCATTTTTCGCAACACGACGTTGATGCTTGAGCAGAGCCGGAAAATTAACCGTCGGAGATGCGAGTGGAGAAAGAACACTGGAACTTCGTAACGATATCAGCGAACTATTCACGTATTCATTTCGAAATTTGAAATTTTGTGCTTTTGATGTATTCCTCAAACAATTTTCTTGCAACTTCTAATATCCTAAATCAAAATTCCCAAATTTTTTTTCTAAAAATATCAACATACAATGTCAATTATAAGTCGCGAAATGCCAACGATAGTTCCTCGTAAAACTGTTGCTGCAAAAAGGAGACCAAAAGTAGAAACAACTTTTTTAACAAGAAAAGACTATTCATATTCACTTAAAAATTTGAGAAATTTTATGCTCTTTTTATATTTTCCTCAAATAGCTCTTCTGTGCCTCCTAACATCCTAAGTCGAAATATACACAAAGTCCTTCTGAAAATATAAGTAATGCCAATTATAAGTCGCGAAATCCCAACGACAGTTTCCCGTGAAATTGCCGCTGCAAGAAGTGGAAACGCGTTTTTTAACAAGTAAAACAAGTCCGAGAAAACCGGAAGAACTGTAATTCCGCGAAAAAGAAAGTTGCACGGGGATCAAGTGGGAAAGTAACGCAGTCTTGGCGTGAAGAGACTAGTCGTGGACGGCCCGTTGCATTTCGCGAGAGGTCAGAAAGGGGTTGAAGGGTGCGCAAGGCAACAGGATGGCGCGCGATGCGAGTTGCTATCGCTATCGAGAATAGCGACGCGTGATTTGTTGAATTATGACCAGTGCCAGCCCGGCCGCAGCGATCACCCTCGCGTGTTCACCCTTCCGGCATTACCATGGCAAATCAGATTGACGCATCCCTTTCGTGCGCGCCACCGCCGCCGCCGCTTGTTTTAATTACATCAGAAGTGATAAGCGACACTTCAGCCGACAATTCCGCACGCAGAGCCGTCGCGCATCGATACCGAACGGGTTTCCAGCTCTTCTTCTCTCTTACAGAGTCATTTTAATACTTTACTCAACAAAGTATCAAACTCTTGAATTTTTCAAACGTGTTCTCTCTCGTTATCGCCCGGGTTGGCTGTTATTATCCTGTTGTGTTCTGAGAATATTACAACGGGACATAGTTGGATCCAAAATTTGGTATAAAACTCGAACAGAATACTGCGGTGGTGCTTTTCGGATTACAAATCGGTTGTAAACCCAGTATCGGGTGATTTAAATCTAGATTTGTAGTCCAAACGGCGTCATTGCAGTGTTTTTTTAGTTTTATCAATTTTGGATGGCGTATCTATACAAATACACGACGCTCCGGGCACGCAAAGCATTGACTGCGGATTTCGAATTCTCCAGGATACAGTAGTTCGCGATCTGAAGTGATCTCAAACCGATAATCTTTGGTTTCCGCTTGAGTGTGAGGCTCGTGCGTCCTCAAGACATGGTAATTCTTTAGCGGACCGTCAAAACTTTGTAGAGCCCTTCTGAAGGGGTTGAAAAATGACCTTTTAAGGACGCACGACGCGTGAACTATCAGGTGTCGAGAGTGTCGATCGATCACAGGATAATTTTATTGATTACAGCCGGCGCGAGGGACGGCGGCGGCAGGAGGTACCCCGTGATCGTGTTCGTGCACGGCGAGAGTTACGAATGGAGCAGCGGAAATCCTTATGACGGCAGCGTACTAGCGAGCTACGGTGGCGTCGTCGTCGTCACCATCAACTACAGACTCGGCATCCTTGGTAAGACACGGCATGATATGTTTAATAGCGCTATCAGCGAAACCCAGACACTCAAAGTTACGGCTTCCACTCGTATACACGAATGTAAGATCAGAAAAAAATTAGTGGTGCAAATTCCAAGCTCTCAAGTACCTCGACTACTACTCGAGTATTTCAAATATTATTCTTATATCAGTGTACAAAGATCTAAAAAGTTAATAGTTTCAAAATTCTAGATACTCAAATACTTCTAATACTGTCTGGAAAATAGAGTTTTTTAGATACTCTCTACCTGAATAACAGGATATCTAAATGTGTGATCAAAGTGTACTCTTGGCAATAGTATTCTACGAGATATGCAACATGGACCAGCAGGTACTCAAATATAGAATTTTAATTGGACTATCAATGCTGAACAAGTTAGAGTATATGCTTTGTTTTTTACGTTTGTAACGTTTGTTTACTCGAGTAACACACGAGATACTCAAGTGTCAGGAAGTAATATCTCTCATTTTTAGTCCTAATTTAAGGCCGATGCTTTGATACTTTCTTTGTTTAACCCCCGGGTGCTCGGAGGAAACCGAATCTCCTGTTCCCCTCGGGTTTCTACGCGTGGAGGTGTTGCGGCTCCTCGGATTTCGAAGGGTTTGGATTTCCGAATTGGCTTTCTACAAGTTCCGGGATATGATTAGATCCGCGAAATCAAGCGGAAACTCTTCTCCAACTTTTCAAGCACCGTCTCTTCGGTGTCCTAAAGCCTCGGGGTCCCTCCCCCCAGCTACTCGAATTTTACATCCTCCGTGCCCCGAAACGTTGTTAGCTCGGACTCGTAGATCGGTTTCCTATCTCTTCCTGAATTTTCAAGTTCCCCGTTAAAATTTGAGATCCTACACCGCGCGGCTACTCGCTGATGCATTGGTCTTCTTTGTCCCCTCGGCATCCCCACGCCCTCTACAGAGAACAAGCCCGATAATCCTAAATTCTCCCAATGAAATTCCGTTACGACCGGATCCTTACGAGCGAATACTTACGGAGAGACCGGATCTTCGGCCTTCTAATTTCTCAGCTTCCCTCCCGATATCTCTCGTTTCTCAATTCTTATGCCTTCCTTCCGACTCTTCCGCGTTAAATACTTTGATAATTAACCCCGATCGCCGAGTCAGATATAACTTTCGCGAACTGTTCGGAACTCAGATAAATCACATATGTTAGTCGGCCGCTTAATGGTGTGAAACGCCACCTCGCAGCGGTTAAGGCTTGAAACGAGCCAGTCGACCGTGGCTCATTAGCTATTTAGGGCCGATTACACCGACGTCACTTAGCGCTAAGTGTGCTTACTCAATTTTCCCGCTGTGGGTAAAGACGACAAGTCCAAACCGGAAACTACACGGGAGGAGGAGAACGACCGACCACGGTCTGTTTAATCGGTATTAGTGTAACAATGATCGTATACTTCCAACCGATCGATCTCGGCTGTACAATACGGCCCTCGCCAGACGTCGAACGAGCGAGCGAACAAATGCGCGCTCGCTAAGTCTACGTGGTCATTAGATCGAACTCGTTACTCCGTGACGTTTGACCGATGTCGCGGCGAGCGCGCGCCGCGTTCGGCAGGTAAAAAGTCGCGGAAAAAGCCGAAGGAGCGCGAAGAAGCGCAGAGGCAAAAAGTTTGCCGCAAACGCCACGGGGATTGCGAGTTCCGGCGAGCCGGCTTGTTGCCTGGCAACCCAGGCAACCAAATCTAATAGGAAACTCATTACGGCCAGGTCTTCCGTTTCACCAAACTAAATTCTTGACTCCCACCTCCCTCTCTCGCCCTCCTGCCTACCTCCCTGCCGCTCTCGTCGGCGCAACTGCAACCCCGCTGTTCTCATCTATCGCCCTCACCGCGCACATACAGGGTGTCTCTCGATATCGTCACTCCTATCTTGGAAACGAGACGATCTCTCGGATCCAGTAATCCAGATCGAGAGATCTGAGACCCAAAGACCTTTCCGTCGAGGTCGGATTATTAACCTTTATAATTGGAGAAGTCATTATAGTGCAGCAACGATTTTGTGAAATGCAGCTACAATTCTTGTTGTTATTATCATTATTATTATTCATATTTTCCATAAAAATTAGGAAAAGAATTTTTTTTTAAATTTATGAAAATTAAAAAAAAGGTGTTTTATGGAAAATTAGAGATGAGAAAAGCAAGTAATAATATATATATATATATATATATATATATA